TTTTAGAGGTGTACCAACCTTGAATGTGGAATATTCACTTTCGTTTTCTTTACTTTAACTCTGTCATATCATTTGGCATTTGCCTATGTGTTGGCTAATATACTATATAAAATAATGCAGTCTCCCAAACTGGACGAATAAAACAAAGAAATGTATGTAAGTTTGATCAATAACTCAGAAATAAAGGGGAAAATGTTTCCAAACAAAAGAAGTGAAGTGAAAATATCTAAAGCCTTAAGAATGAGATTGTTTAATGCATAAACAAAATAAATTGTGTTGGATCAGTAATATTTAACTCATTTTGCCAAAACGCCACCGATCAACAAATAAAAAATTTTAGGTCTGGCGACATGTCTACTTTACAAACCTATATAAATAAACCAAGCTAGACGCGACGGCCATCACTAGCAATAAATGCCAGGAGCGGGAGAGGTTTATGTGGACATTGCTACAGAATAGTCCCCGGGGCACTCACTACACCGGGCCTTTACAACTGCTTAAAGATTCAGTGTAAAAAACTGAGTCTCACCATGCAAGAATTAATGTTAGGAATTAATCATAAAACCCACCTAAGATAGTATAGGTTTCACAAACATGACACAGTAAAAAAATCGAAGGTTTTAAATGAAAATCGACCCGCCATAGAAAACTAGGGTGACTAATCAAATTTCCATTTAAATATTTCCTCAAACTTGTCAGTTAACTTGGTTACAAGGGAAAACACATGTTTTTGGTAAAATGCCATTCGAATAGTATGATATAAATAGATTTGCCAAATTCGATCAAAACATATTTATATACAAGCAAAGTACGACAATTGAATTTTTCCATAAAATAGCACGGGAGTTGTATATGTACAGCGTTTTGGAGCCTTTGATACGTAACCTACAAGTACTGTACGCTTCAATATCCAAAATTATTTGTTTTTTAAGCTATACACGATGACAATTGGGCATGTGTATGTTTATATTCCTAAGTAGGATGTTCTGATTTAAGCAATTAGTAACAGACACCAATCTTTCAATGACATCTGATCCTATTTGGAAATTCTATGGAGGAAATTGGATAATTGACCAAATCCCACTCTCAATGCTACACAAGATTAGTGTATGAGTTCATGAGTAACAATTTTTACGTAAACAAGTTTTAGTTCAAAACAGCTATAACCGGTTAGTCAAACTGTACTAAAGATAGCCATGACCACTAACAATGAGAACACATTTTCACACGTATAAGAGACGGTATACACTTTAAAGAATGCAGAAATAAAATAGACAGTGGCCTTATTTTCTTAAACTTTAGAACAATGAAGTGCTAACGTGACATGATGCTATAACAATAACACTTTCTGTCAGAGCGAGAATGTTTGAGGACATAACTCTCTGAATAGTTTCTTGGCTCTCGTTTCTCTCTGGAAACTATTCAGAGAGTTTAAGGGATCCTTTACATTGTTACGTTATTTAAAACCTTTACAAATTTCCACAATCATTTATAACAAACTCAACTGTATCGGATTTCCCCAAAATTCCCACTATTTGTTTACGTAAGCCTGGAAAAACATTTGTAGCTTTATGAATGAGTTTTTGAACACCAAATTTTCGTTTTCATGCTTTAAATAAATCTCCTCAATGCGCAAAAGGTCTACTTTAAAGGGTTGTAATTAAGTTGTTTTATAGATTCAATTATTAAAATAATGAAAGAAATGTATACATTACTTTTGTAGTGTAAATCAATATGAAATTCCTACGACTCTCCATAAAAATAAACAACTTACTGGCATTGGTATTACTCTCTTTCAATTCAAATACGGTATTTGTGGATCTCAACACACTATTATGCACCGTAAACCCTTATAAAGTACAAGGATAGGAAAGCCAGTAAAGTGTATTACGAGTGTTTTTCAATTTGTCGAGTTGAATATATTATCATATACAATAGTTGCAAGATATGTTGGTGAACGTTAGCATATTCACAGCGTAGGCCTGTTGTCACTAGGCCAACAGAGCGGCGCCTCGCTTGTCTCATAGATCACTCGTTGCTCCGAACAGAGAAATGAACATATGGTTTGAGAAAGATCTGTTTATGCAGACATACAACTGTTTCCTTTTCGCAAGAAGAGAGCAGAAAATGTATATCAATCGTCTGTGTAACAGTAATGTAATCAATTTTAAACGTTTTAAAAATTATTTTTCACCAAATATACGTGTAGGCTATCTTTTATTGAACTAAACTGCAAAGTAAATGGCATTGCTTTTGATTACTTAAAAATGAAGGATAAAAAAGATTATCTTAACACCAAACATGTTTATATTTAGAGTTCCGACCCCTTTCGTATGACTATGATGTCAATATGCGTACAATCAATCACCTTGCCAATAAAAGAGTCTCTGCAAAAGTAGGCTACATTAAGAAGACACTCGTACTAACTTAGATGCAATCCAAATTTTTTTACTTAACTGAGACATTTAACTATTTAACACTGATAGTGCTAAGGTGATTTTAAACAACAAAAAGGGTATTTTAAACAGTTTCTATCCACAAAACATGAATAAATTGATCTTAAACTGCAGCTTAGTTCTAAACTAATATATTTGGAAATGTTTTACCTATATATTTTCATGAACATTGAACATTCTCGGTACAAACGGACGCTTGGACAACCAGCTAGGCGCCACATAAAGGGCAGTAAAGCTGTCTGTACAGGTGGGCGCGTCTGTCAACGTTCAGTTTATGGCCTATTTACACCCAATTACCGACTCCCACCTAGCGAAGGGTGTTTCATTACTTGACTTCTGACATGCATTCAATTTAAATATACATAATTCAAAACGGCAGTGCAATTATTGTTCGATACAGTATTGAGCTCGAATGAAGTCCACATTGCACATGGGGTTAAGAATAACAAAGCATTCTTGTATTGCTTCGACTTATGTTAAGCATTACATAAATACTTAGTAATGTAGACTCCAGGGATCCACGAGTTGCATAACGCTATAACTTTATCGTTTATTATTAATCAAATTTTGGCAAACAATCGGTTATAATTAATGAAGTTATGTGGAATAAAAATAAAATTTGAAAAAGTAGAATCAATGCACACTGGTATAAACTAAATCACTACTAACGTATTTTTTCGAAATCCTAACAGTAATTTGCCTTAAAAATTAAAATTTTCAATAAATTTTCATTACAATACAAATCCATTAGTAAATTTAAACCCAACTATGACCGTATGGTAAGGATAGGTTTATGATGTACGTAGGTAGTACAGATTGCGTTTCGTAGTAAATTGAGACGGCCAGGAACAAGCTTATTCGTGTGTCAAGACAATGTTTAAGAAGGTCGTTTAACCACTTGTCATCAAGTCCGATTTCCAATTATGAAAAAGAAGCATTTATTTCTCAGGTACAAAATCCAACCTTTTTCTTAACGAAACAAGAGGATTAGTTTTCCACATTTCCCTCTCGAACTGTTATCAATTCACGTGAAGACGTCAACTTCCTTCTCTTCTTCTGTTCCTGTTGCGATAAGTCTGGTCAGATGAAGGTATCGTTTCGCACACCATGTCAGCTGACAGGTGTTAGCATCTGGACTATTCTAGGAAGACAGAATCATTTCAATCATCCGCTCTACCAGTTCCTCATGTTGCATTGTCTTTGATCTACAGTTTGGACCTAACGTTGGGAATGTTTGAATCACTCGGGTTGCACCTGTTTGTAAACGCCCTTTTAGATTTCAACAGCTGTAAAGTTTTTCAAGCTACAAAATGAGTTTGGTCTAGAACTCTACAGTCTACAGTAGAGCATTATTATGAAGATGGAAAATTAAATTTTCATACAGGGGTTTAAATGCATACCTGTAACCGTTATGCGTAATAGATTTAGGAGGGAAATGAATCCGACCCCAAAACTATTATAAGAACAAATACGATAGCTTATTACTGTACAATATAAAATATTGTATGCATAGCCTAAAAAACCCCAGAAAACTTTTGCAAAAGAAATTGCCCTAGTCATATATAATTTATGTCCCCGTTTCTTTCATCGTTAGTTAGAATAGTACGTATACTTTAGACCTTACCACTTTAGACCTTAGCACAAAACAGAGCAGTATACTAATTGATTAATTCAATGGAGAGACGAACAATAGTGAAATGTGTGACAATTACTGCATATTCGTTCATTATACACTATACTCAAAGAGGTTGCAGTGGAATAATAAAAACACGATTTGATTACAAACAACCTAACCATCTCTCACTGCAGTCGGCTGCTTTGACATTTCCGCTGTCTGACAGAACTATTTATGAATCACTAATTGAATGAATGAACTCTGCTTGGGTCCGAGCCAGGCCGGGGTTGTAGTGGGGGAGGGGAGAGGAATCTGTAATTAGATTTGTAATCACAAGGTGGAAATATATAATGACGAGTGTCAATCTATCTCACCTAGGTTTACTATAATATTGCCTAAATCTATAATATTATAAAGTGAGGATGGTTTTTGTTGTGTATATTTGTTTGTTGTTGAACGAAAACACTAATGTAGATCATGAATGCCAACTGCCGAGAACTCTTGGATGTAGAAAATCTTTTTGCTTGGACACTTCCTTTAGTTACTTTTCACTATATTTGACCTACTGTACTTCTTCAATCCAACAATATTTTACAACTTGATTTCCTTTTAAACATAACAATCATATTTCTAACAATTTGATCTTCACCGAGACAAGTTAGATCTTTTACAGTGGATTTTCCAAATAAGTTTGTTACAAGAATATTAAAAATTGGAATGTGATTTTGAGTAGTTTTTCACCAGACTTGACTAGTCTCATTTAAATTATTAGAAGGTGATTCATAAAAAATGTAACAAAATGAAAGCATTTGGTAAAAAAAAT